TTCTCAACATGTTTTACAAATTTAAAGAATTTTCATGCAAAAATTTCAATAACAAAATTGTTTTGACAGTTCATTGTCTCAGCAGCTGTGTCAATGTGTCATCTGTGTTCTTCTACCATGCTGTGTTTCCATACATTTTTAAATGGAAAATGCTTTGCTCGGAAAGTTGGAGGGTAAACACTAATGCTCTGTTCCAGAACCTGCAAGAATCAACCAGTTTTTTTAATATCACAAAGATAACAGAGATAAATCGATGTGAAAACTTCAAAATTCTTGTTGTTCTGGACAGTGCATAAGGTGCAGATGTAATTATGCGCTGTTCCAGAATTACAAGAATGTAAATAATTTTACTGCGATAACCGATTTTCCCATTTGTAATATTGAAACAAAATGGCAAAAACTAGTAGATTCCTGCAGGTTCTGGAACAGAGCATTACGTTTCAAAACTGAACTTTCCGGGCAATGTCTTTTCCATTTAAAAATATATGGGTACACAGCATATTTCGATGACTTAAGCCAAAAAAGACTGGCTAAAATTGAATTTGCACCCAACTGGCGCGTATTGTCACAACCGACTGGAACAGACCAAATATTTTGTTCCAGTGACCCTGTTCGCCGGTCAATGGCTTACTTTTCATGTTCCCAAATTTCGGAATCAACATCAATGCAAATGTTAAATATTCAAAAAAGCAGAAAAATTCACAAATGAATATTGCATCCTTTGAAGATTATTCTACATTCCGATGATGATGTTAAAAAGGACCCGCGTGCATATTCCCGATTTTAGAAACCAACAGCAAAGCATATTGTAAAATCTTCTCTGAATTTAATTTAATAACCAAACCAAAAAAAAAAAATAAAATTTGTCGCCGTTGAAAAAAATTGAAAATTGACATCGACGTTTATAAAATTAAAAAAAAATGCCGGCTTTGTTGTTTATTTGAAATTCAAACATTTTTCAATTTCTTTAGATTTGAATCAGACCTATAATTTTCGATTATTTATTGTGGTTTAAATAGAATCGTTATCCGGGGATAAAAATGCTATAGTATAACAAGCATTGGATAGAAAATAATGAAAATTATGGAAAACATTTGAAACTGTCACTAACATCGCTGTTTGAAGAATGTCGAATGTCATATCGAAAGAAAAGAAAGAATTTTTTCAAAAAGGGGAACAATGTGAAATTGAATTATAATATAATCCCATCATGTTTTTACGAGGCGGAAACAGGTTAGAGCCTATTTAACGGTTCAGAGCAAATCCATGTAATGCATTTAATTTAACATGGGTATAAATAAATGTCCAATTTGAGAAAAAAAAAATGAAAAAATCTATTTAGGACCAAAGAAAGTTTTTCAAACAATATGTTGAATTGAAAGAGGCTTTTTGAGTTGTGAAACGTATTGTCCAGAATATGAGAAAGTTATGTTGAATAACGGCTGACATTGGTGAAAAAATTGGTTTGCTATTACGGCAACGTGCATGGAAGGACACCGATGCTGTTAAACCAAGCTAGGATTGCAACTCAACTTTACTAAAAGATGTTGATTTTAAGCGAATTTCGTGAGGAATTGGAATTCTCAAAATATCTTCTCCAAGCTTGACGAAAAAATACAGAATGTTGGTATGAAAGACTCTCCTATTATGCGTTCAAAATATTTAAAATTTGACACCGATAATCAATATAATTGGAGAAACACGATTTAGTTATAGTTTCTGTATGTTTTCCTCTATTTGTTCTCCTGGGTGTCCTACAATATCAAGATAGCAAGGATGCCCAGCTAATTTGCATCTACTGTAATGCTACTGTCAATTTCAATTTGACCTGTTGTGTTTTATTTCCCATTTTTAATGTAATTTGGGACTTTTGTCCTCACAATTGAAAACTTACGTTGTCCTACTTCAGAGAATGCCGTTGGTGCGAAAAGAAGCGGCTGCAAACTCAAAACGGCCAAAATTAATTACTTCACTTGTCTCATTTACTGGACCTTTGGGTTATCGAAAAAAATTTTGTAATTACATCTAATTTGTACAAAGTACAACCAACTCTTGCGTTATCCTACATACCTAATGATATAAATTATTGAAGACATTCGCATGATAGTATTTATTGATATGCCGTATTTATCTTAGGTAAATACGCAATGAACGTTTAAAAACATTTATTTTTCTATCGCTTTATTTTGATCTATTTTCATTTTTAAATGTGAGACATCATCATAGGCCACTTTGTGTGCAGAAAAGAGATGAATTTTTAGTCTGAAATTAACAAGGCAAATATTTATAATTTATGGCAGGTACAAGACAAAAATTTTAAATAACTTACAGGTGTGGTTTCAGGAATGTCTTTTCACACATGTAACAACTATACCGATGACCAGAATGTACCTTGTACAAATGATCCTGTAAACGTTTACGTGTCTGGAATGCTTTCGAACAGGTGGAACATTCGAATTGTTTCTCGCCAGTGTGAATAAATGTATGATCGACTAGATGCTGTCGTGTCGGAAGGCAGCTTACAGTCTTCATACTCGCATACAAATGGTTTTCTCATCGCGATGCATACGAGAATGTAGAATAAGCTGCGATCGTCGAGCAAATTTTTTATCACATTGCGGGCATTCGACTTCTTGCCGAAATGCAATGTCTGGTGGGTGGTAAGAATATTTTTCTGTCGAAAACATTTTCCGCAAACCTCACACTTAAAGGGTTTTACATCACAGTGGATATTGTAGTGTGATTCAATATCATAGATGCGATCAAAGGCTCGATCTAAAAAGTAAAATAGACAACATCAGTTCAGATTTAAATGTAATTCTCCCATACATACCACAGTGATGACATTGATATGACTTTTTCACTTTTCCATTTTCATCTAGCACGGTTGTAACAACATAAGTATTAGTGGATGGGCCAGAATTTTGGGTATTGGAACGCATTTTTGGCTCAGAAGTTGTAGCATGCAACTCTTGTTTAAGGTTTGTTGTATAAGTTGTAAATATCTTCATCCTCATTCCCATTGTCGTCTCCATTGTCTTCCTGATAGACGTATGTATTATTTTCGTTCTCTACTTCTTTTGCCGTGCTTGATTCTGATTGCGAATCATCTTGCTCACCATCGTTTCCTTCATATTCAAAATTTATTATTTCTTGTTCATCGTTATATTTATCCTTGTTGTTGTTGTTGTAGCAGTAGTACATGTGTGTGTTTGTGTTCTGCTAATCTGGTTCCAGCTCCAGGTTTAGAAATTCGGCTACTTTAACGGGCTGTAGCCAGAGATCCTCTGGAGTGAGTTGGGTAGGTTTGGCTGAGCAATTAAAAAGGTGTAGCGTATTGTGCGGGCCTGTATCACACGCCGGGCAGGCGTCACGCACATCTTCATCAATTCGTGCCCAATACGAATTGAGGCGACTACACCATCCTGAACGTAATTGCGCCAAAACTACCCTGGTTTGTCTAGGCAGCTGACGTTCTTCGGCTGCAATGGATGGGGGGTGGACTCCGAGGACGGCATTCACTTTATAACTGCTAATAGCATCCGCGACTGCATCGGTGTGAATGCCACTCAGACCTGCCTGATAGGCTTCTTGATCTAGAGGCTCTCTTTTGTAGCGCTGGACCTCCCTCTCTAGATCATGTATGTCCTTCCTGACACGCCTGGGTGGGGGAAAGTTATCCACCATATGATGGTTGGGATGGCTCTCACGGTAACACCCAAGCAGGTACTGCAACGAAAGCATATGATTATGCTGACGTAAGGGAAGGACTTTCGCCTCCTCATGTAGATGGTCCACTGGTGTCATGAGGAGGCACCCTGTCGCAGTTCTCAGGGCAGCGTTCTGGCAGGTCTGGATATTCTTCCACTGCGTAGCACTAGTATTCGCAGACCACACTGGAGCCGCATAGTTGACCACAGACCGACCTATCGCGTTATAAGAGGTCAACAAGGTTTCTTTGTCCGCACCCCAAGAGCTGCCGGCTAGCGCCTTGAGGACCTTGTTCCTACTTTTCATCTTATCGCAGATAGCTGTGGCTTGCGCGGACGACTTGAACATGCTGTCGAACGTTACCCCAAGAATCTTGGGGTAGTTCGTGGTCGGTATTAAATTCCCCTCGACCTGAACATTCAGCTGTGTTCTCATCTCCGCAGACCATGTGGTAAAGAGTGTGGCCGTTGATTTCGTGGCGGATATTTTCATATTCCTCGCGTGGAAGTATGCGGCAAGCTCCGCGAGATAGGGGTTCAACCTTTCGCATATGTCATCGACCACTGGACCCGACGCCATGATCGTACAATCATCCGCATACGTTACGATCTCAATGCCGTCTGGAGGGCGAGGAATTCCGGAAAGGTAGAGGTTAAACAGTTCCGGAGATATCACCCAGCCTTGGGGAACTCCCTGTTTCACTCTACGGGCTTTGGACTTCTTGTTCCGGAATTCCACGTACGACTGGCGTCCACACATATAGTTGATTATCCAACGTTTCAAACTTGGCCGGAGGGTAGTTCTCTGTACGTCCTCAAAGAGTGTGGCATGATTGACCGTATCAAATGCCTTTGATAGGTCAAGGGCTACCAACACTGTTCTGTCACACGGCCTGTTCTGGTTTAGTCCTCTACTAATGTCAAGTTAAAAGTAGTAGTAGATACCTTTTGTTGCATACATGTGAAAATATACGATTACATGCAACCCGGATACAACCCTGAATTTTTAAAAATGTAACGAAGTTGAAGATACGAAGCCAACCTGACAAGGCGTACTAGTTTAAGCTCGTATAATTGATTTTAATAAACGTTTGTGAATTCTTAATTTAATATAAAAACGGTCGTTGTATTTCATTTGAGTATACGGAAACCAACAGACTTCAATCGATCACTTGACATTTTTCTCAGAAGTGGGATACGACAAGTCTTATTGGAAGAAGCGTCTACCAACAAGAAATATGGAGAATTTGCACAAATGCACGGTTAAGCAGTTGCAAGCGAAATGCAGAGAAATTGGTGTTTCTCAAAGTGGTAACAAAAAGCAATTGATCGAACGACTTGAAGTCAACAACGAAAGCGAGCTGCACGGATTCGCATCTCCTCATGATATGCAGGAGCGAATTTCGCATTTGGAAGATATGGTAACTGAATTACGTTCATCTATGGAGCAACGTGGACAATCAGAATTTGAGCCGAACAACGCATCATCCCCTTTGAACACGTTTTCGACACCGGATGGTAATATGTCCCTGCAAGGCACACGGCCTAGCTTGCCAAACGTGGCAAACGTTGTGACAATATTACCGGAATCACGTTCGATTCCATCGTATGTTCAAACGAATACTTCTTTTGGTGCATTTCAGACTACGTCAACAATTCCAACGGTCCACACGTGTGCTTCTGCTGGTTTACCAACGTTTACACCTTCATTGCACGGACATGCTCAACTTCCACGAAATACAACGCAAAATGTAGCGACGTCATGCTACAACGTACCAACACATATAACGACACATTCGAATTTTACAACAGCAACACCGACAGGAGTGTTCACGCAGCCGAACAATGGATATGTTCAATCAACGCAGCCCTACAACGCATATCTACAACCGCCGATATTTGCAACAAGTGTCTATTCAGCGCCGCCGCAGTCAGAAATAGTTATGCAGCCTTCACAACGTTATGTTCAGCACAACCCCTTTGGGAACGTTAAGGAAATAATTCAACTTTTGCCAGAGTTTAATCCGTCATCTGAAGAATCGATTAATCCTTCACAATTCGTGCGACGTGTGGAATTATTGAAGACAGCTTATAACTGGGACGACGCATCAGTTATATTTGCAGTGCAACAGAAAATGGCTGGCCCAGCCAAGTATTGGGTTGACTCACTGCAAGAGGTATTTCTGTCTTGGCCTCAGTTTGTTAACAAATTTCTTTTAGATTTCCCTCAAAATGTAAATGCAGCCGATGTACACATTAGAATGGCACAGACAAAACGGCAGTTCGACGAAACGCCGCAGGAATATTATTACAGAATGTATGCTATTGGAAAACGGGGCAATATAAATGAATCATCCATAGCACGGCATATAGTCAACGGAATTAATGATCAAGGATTGAAGCAGAAAATATCTAACGAGTATATTACCTGTAATCAACTTTTGAGTGACATCAACGCATACTGTAGTTATAACGAGGTAAGAAGAGTGCTGAACCCGATATCGAATAAGACGAAACGTAGCAATGAAAATAGAACTGCCCCAGAAAGGAAAAGCGATGAAAGAGTGAATAAATTCAAATGTTTTAATTGTGGTATACTGGTCACAAAGCCGTAGACTGCCCAGATCCACAGAAGAAGAATAGATGTACGATATGCAAACGGACTTCACACGGTGCAAGTGAATGTCCAACAAAAACCCTGAACACAAATGTCAACAATATAAGGGACAGCGTAAAGTCCAACGAAATACTATGTAAACGTGTCAAAGTAAAGGACAAGGAGTTTGAGGCATTTATTGATTCGGGAAGTGATCGGAGTCTGATCAGACGAAGTTTTGCAATGATAATTGGCGAAACGGAAAATTGCAGTATGGTTTTAAATGGCTTTGCTGGTGGCAAATACGAGTGCACAAAGGTGGTTAAAGTGCCAATTGACATTGATGAGACGAGTTACGACGTGAACCTTTATGTTGTGGAAAATTCTATGATCCCGAATGATGTTCTTTTAGGTCGAGATGTTTTATGCCAAAAAGGTCGACGCACCATTATTGAAGGAGATGAGTGTTGGATGCAAAACGTAAATGCGATTAGTATCAACGAAGGCTTAACATCTGAAGAGCATAAGAAGTTGCAGTTGAACATTCAAGAAAACCGACAATGTTTTTCAGAAAAGTCAAGCGAATTGGGTAAGTGTAACTTAGTGAAGATGGAAATCGAAGTTACTACTCCAGAACCAATACGATGCAAGCCATATCGACTAGCATTTGCCAAACGTCCTATTGTGGCAAATATTGTGAAAGACTTACTGGATAACGAAATCATAAGGAAATCGAATTCTCCGTATGCATCGGGAATTGTTTTGGTCGAGAAGAGAAATGGTGAACACCGTTTATGTATAGATTATAGACAGTTGAATCGAATAACCGTACGTATAGCGCATCCTATGCCTGTACTGGATGAACAGATTGCACAACTCGCCGGAAATCGTTATTTCACCACACTCGACTTACGTATGGGTTACCACCAAATTGAAGTAGAGGAAGAATCGAAAAAGTTCACAGCTTTCGTGACTTCAGATGGTCATTATGAATTCAACCGGATGCCATTTGGTTTGGTAAACGCACCTGCAGTTTTTCAGGCAACGATGAACCGAGTTATAAGCTTTATGAAACCAGGAGAAGTTTTAGCGTATCTGGATGACGTCATAATTCCCAGTAAAACAGTCGATGAAGGTCTGGACCGAATAAAAAGATTTTTGGATATCCTTAAGAAATGTGGTCTCACGTTACGATTGGCGAAATGTTCGTTCCTAGCCGAAAAGATTTCTTATTTGGGACACATAGTTACACGTGACGGAATTTTACCTGGAGAAGAAAAAGTAAAAGCGATTAGAAATTTTAAGGTACCAACGAATGTAACAGAAGTACGACGATTCCTTGGCCTAACTAACTTCTTCCGAAAATTTGTAAAGGATTATGCAGCCATTACGAAACCTCTTGCGATGTTGACACGAAAGAGCGAAGAGAATAAATTTCGTTGGGACGTACACCATGAAAACGCATTCAGAAGTTTAATCCAAATTTTGTGTAGTGAACCAGTTTTAGCAATCTACGATATGAAAGCAGATCACGAGGTGCACACGGACGCTAGCAGTCTCGGATTAGCAGGAGTGTTATTACAGTCCGATGGTAATGGTAATTGGCAACCAGTGTTTTATTTTAGCCGCCACTGTTCTGAAACGGAATCGAAATATCACAGTTACGAGCTGGAAGTTTTAGCTGTGGTTGAAACGGTGCAGCGTTTCCGTATATATTTACTTGGAAAGCCATTCCGAATCGTCACTGATTGTGCCGCAATTACTAATGTGAAGACAACGAAGGAATTACAACCTCGAGTAGCACGATGGCTGATGAAATTACTTGAATTTGATTGTGAGTATGTACACCGACAAGGGTCACGTATGGCTCACGTTGATGCTCTCAGCCGTTCACCGGATCAGCCACAGACGGAGATTGAACCAGCAGGGTTCATAATGAATATTGATAGCGATGATTGGATTCTCACGATGCAGCTAAACGACGACCACATAAAGAATATTATGAGAGTACTGCGAAATGAATTGAAATCTGAGCAAGAGAAACAGATAAAATCTGAATACTTATTGGAAAAACATCGACTATACCGGAAAACGAAAAATGGACTACGATTGGTCATACCGAAGGCTATACGATGGCGCATAGCTAAATACTGTCATGATGATATTGGCCATTACGGGTTGGAGAAAAGCCTCTCACGAGTCGAACAAACGTTTTGGTTCCCCCGCATGAGGAAATATATGAAGGAGTACATTGCAGCGTGTGTAGAGTGTTGCTACAACAAGGCAAAAGGTGGTAAACACGAAGGAGCTCTACATTTTAGTAATGTCGAACCGCTACCATTTAGGCAAGTACATATTGATCACTTGGGACCGATTATAAGAAGCAAGCATGGTCATACACATATAGTGGCAATCGCCGATTCCTTTACGAAATTTGTGGTTATTAAAGCTGTAAGGAATACGAAGACATTGCCCGTCATCAACGTTTTAAATGAGGTTAGTGGATACTTTGGTTTACCTCGAAGAATAATTTCGGACCGTGGGACAGCTTTTACGTCAAAAATGTTTGAGGAATATTGCGATCGAAACAATATTCAACACATTAAGAATGCCGTTCGTACACCAAGAGCCAATGGACAAGTTGAGAGGGTCAATCAACTTATCCTGTCTTATTTACGAACTACCACTGAAGAACCGAAGGATTGGGACTCGGCACTTCACGTTTTACAATGGTCAATCAATTCAACAAAAAATTCGACAACAGGTTACAGTCCGAATGAGTTGATTTTCGATTACAAGCCCACCGACTTAATACAAAACCGATTGTTAGCAGCTGTACAAGATGATGTACAAAACGAAGAAATTTCCATCAACGAAAAACGTATCATGGCCGCAGAAAACATCAAAAGCGAACGAGAACGATGGAAGAAAAGATTTGACAGCAAGCATTCGAATCCGAAATTGTATGTGGAAGGTGACTTGATCCTTATACAGAATGAACCACCAGCGACAGGTGAATCCCGGAAGTTAGAACCTAAATACAAAGGTCCATACATAATAGCACGAGTATTGGGCAACGACAGGTACCTGATAGAGGACATTCCTGGAATAAACATCACGAATAGGAAATTCTGTTCCGTATTCAGTTCCGACAAGTTGAAGAAATGGTGTGAATGTTCCCCCGAATTGGATGTTTCAAGCGAAGATGAAGCCGAGGACGACTTCAGGTCAGGAAAGGCCGAGTTGTCAAGTTAAAAGTAGTAGTAGATACCTTTTGTTGCATACATGTGAAATATACGATTACATGCAACCCGGATACAACCCTGAATTTTTAAAAATGTAACGAAGTTGAAGATACGAAGCCAACCTGACAAGGCGTACTAGTTTAAGCTCGTATAATTGATTTTAATAAACGTTTGTGAATTCTTAATTTAATATAAAAACGGTCGTTGTATTTCATTTGAGTATACGGAAACCAACAGACTTCAATCGATCACTTGACACTAATATGTGTGGAAATGGCGTGTAATGCTGTTGTGGTACTATGTTGTGGACGGAATCCATGCTGGTGGTTGGCAACTGCATAGCTTCCTCTAATGCTGGGGAGGAGTAAAGCCTCAAGAGTCTTTGCTACTGGCGACAAAAGCGAAATCGGCCTGTACGATTCGCCTTTACTGGCATCCTTGCCTGGCTTCAGTAGCGGGACCACCCGGCCCATTTTCCAGGTTTCGGGCACTATGTGGGTGGCTAGCGACAAATTGAGAACTTTCGTTAAGTACTCGACTCCCGGCGTATCCAGCTGCTTCAACATTACCATTGAGATTCCGTCCGGGCCCAACGCTTTGGATGACTTAGCGTTACGGATGACATTTGCAACATCACCCATCGTAAACTGTGGTGGTTCCTCCTCGGCGGGAAGAGATCTGATACGACGTAGTACTCTTCGCTTCGCCCTATCACTCTCGGGTGCTCGACAAATTGTCGGTTAAAATATTCCGCGCACCTCTTCGGATCAGTCACCGTTACGTCGTTAAAAGTGACTGAGGTCCTATCATCCTTTTTTCCAGGGTTCGAGAGTGACTTAACCGTTACCCACAGCTTACTCATATCGGTTCCAATGTTGCAGCACTTCAGATGGTCTAGCCACTTTTTCCTCTTATGCTCCTGTACCAACCGGTTGACTTCCACTGTCAAATCACTGATTCTAGGATCAGTAGGGTTGGTACGACGGAGATCATCACGCTCGTTTGCTAATCCCGCTGCCTCTGCTGGGAAGTTTGGTCTTATCTCGGGTATTCGACCAGCAGGTATATAGCGAGCGGCTGCAGCTCTGATGATGTTTCGGAAAATCCTTTCTGCTACCCGAACATCAGAAGGGTTGGGCAGTTCTCTGAAGCGGCGGTTGGTGAATTCTCTGAACTCTGGCCAGTGAGCTTTCCCATGGTTAAGGAAAGTGCGGCGTTCAGAGGTTATGAAATCGGGCGATCTGCTGATGGAGACGATTATCGGGAGATGGTCTGAGCCAAGAGAAATGACGGGTTGCCAAGTCACGTCATTTATCAGACCGGGTGACACGATGGTTAAGTCTGGCGAACTGTGACACTCTCCTCTTATTCGGGTGGGGGCATCCTCGTTTACCGTGCAAAATGTGGAGCAGTCAATCTGCTCTGCCAACGCTGATCCCCTCTGGTCATTACCTAGGACGGAATGCCACAACTCATGGTGGGCATTGAAGTCCCCTAGTACCAGGCGGTTATTGCCTTCCAAAAGTGGGCTTATATTAGGCAAGTAACGCGGTTCACAGCTATTAACCGGCGGGATATACACATTAAGCACCTCTACCTCGGCAGTACCACACTTGACTGCTACCCCCATACACTCCATGTACGGGTCACTAGAGACTAGCTCAAGCGAGATAGGTCTGTATTGAACAGAATGGTGTATCAGGAACGCTAATCCCCCACCTCCACTTCTGGTGCGATCTTTCCTCAATACGTTGTAACCATTGCAACGTTGTAAGCTACAATTTTCATTGAGCTTGGTTTCCTGCACCGCTGCGATCTTGATATTCCTCCGATTCATAAAATCCACTATCTCATCAATTTTACCTCGGAGTCCGTTGCAATTGAACTGCAAGAACGATGCATTGTCCGGAATTGGAACAGCAACATGTGGCGTTAAGTGCTGCGGTAAAGGTTGCTGTTCTGGAGACTGCGGGGGAGTTCCATACTCCGACGACGACTCGGAAGTTGACGACGAGGTCGTGGACTCACTGGGGACTACGTTGGTGCAGCACGAAGCAACATAGTCCCTATCGCTATAGTCTCGCAACCGGGTTAAACCGGAACAATTTCTAAAATGCACCCATCCTCTGCATCCATTACATCGCACCGAGACTGATCTATGGTGGATGGTGTTTTGGCAAACCGTACAGAACCATGGTCCGGGGTTTTCCTCAAGCCCGGCACGGACCAATAAAATCCGGATATTTATCCTTGTTTTCCATCGGTAACGATTTATCATCATCCTCCTGTGACCACGTTTCTGTAACGTCCATATGTGCGTTGTATTCATCTTCTTCTATAACATTATCCACTGAATTGTTTTCATGGTGATCGGTGCCTTCATTGGATTCCGTTGCATAACCATTTTCATTTATTGGTAATGTCAGTAGCAGCTCATCTTCTTCTTCCTGTTTGGGTTCCTGATTCAATTGCATATCTGCAGATTCCTTAGTTGACGATACTACTGCAACGTATATGTTGTTTCTGGCATCTTTAGTCACACTCGGTAGGTTATTGCTCTCGAGAACTGGCTTTGGGTTATCACATTCTGTGGGAAATTGGGTCCTCCAATACTCATCGGCTTCCTTGCACTGTTCATGGAAATCCTGAAATTCGGCTAATTTATTAAAGCATGCCGCACAGAGATTGTTGGATCTGTGGACTTTTGTTTGCGAATAAGATTCTTCAATTGTAATTCTTGTTCCACATATTTCAGGATTGCCCGTGTCATTTTTATTGGTTCGTGACCAATACTTTGCAAGCAAATTCGGCAATTATTAAAAAGATCCATGCTGCTCTGGATTTATTTAAACAACCGCTATAAAATGTTTTGTTATTTGTTTCCTGATGTAATTTCGCCCACTTGTGCTTTGCAGGTTTACACGGCATCTACATTAGGGTTATGTAGGTCGAGTTCAGTTCTAGTCGACGGCTAGTGAATAATCGATGTATGTGCAGTCGGCACCGTAAGCGGTATGCTATGTTCCCACGACATCTGCTGATCAGATTTTTTTCGATGATAAGCGGTGAGCGCTTTCCTTCGTCTATATGTTCGTTAGTCTGTGCCACTGTAACGGGAAATTGCATATGTAGTTTCTCATATTGATGCAGTCCACAAATATCGGTACCGTCCCCTTTAAGGTATTTAAGGCACGAATCCCCATACATTTATTTTTAAGGGTTTTTTAAAGGTTTTCGTTACCTCGAGTTGGAGGCTTTTTAAAGTTTGGCCTGACATTTTTCTTTTTTTTAATATTGTAGGACATTTGAATACGGTCACCCAGGAGGCAAATTTATAGCTGATCGTTCTATATTTAGCTAAAGGTTTTTCTAGCAAAAAAAATCTAATTTAATATAAAAAACGAAGTATACCTTTTAAGCACTAAAAAGAAAGGTATAAATTACCTTCATCTGCAGGCCAATTTGGCGCCATTATTGTTTGTATAGACATTTGTAATTGCTCTAAACTGGGCTTTACCGTCTTCACCTGACCCAGGGCCAAATAATAGCACACCTGTAGCACCAAAAAGAACACCTTCAAATACTCTTTCTGATGTGGATTCGCAATACTATTGTCAATTATGGCCCCAGCCGAATTGAGCAGTGCCAGTACATCGTTGGTTTTACGTTCTATCATTAGGATCATTGCCTGTGACAGCAGAAAGAGCACCTTTAAATATGTGGCACTTGACTCATCGGCTGATTCTGCACCAACCGCAAGCAGCTCTGAAGCTAGAGTGTATTCCTTGTCATTTGCATGTAGTTGGGACAATTGCAGCAGCAGTTTACAATGCCAATAGACATTGTTTTGTGACAATTCGATTGCCTTTCGCAGCATAGCCTTGGCCAGGGGAACCTGATCGATTTGTTTGTACAGTTCGGCCAGCATTGATGCGGTATCAAATTTAACATCGTCAAAATTTAAAAAATTTAATAATGACTCGGACAATTTCCACGCCTTTTCCAAGTGTTCCCGGGCCTTGTCGATGTTATGGGTGTACGTCATAAGTATCTGGCCCATTTGCAGATGGGTGCGTGCCTCTACTTTCGATGGTGGATTGAACGTAAACAAAGCTTGTAGACATTGTATACACCTCTTGATGTTCGGTGGCTGTGACGTGCGAAAATATTCCGCCAGGCCCAGTAATGAAATATAACAAGCGTCCTGTGATGTCGTTGCTGTCTGTGAAGTGCTAGCCGGTTGCAAGCTCATCTTATTTAACAAATATCCTTAAATTTACGATTTGTGATCTCCTGATGTAAACAAGTTTTCTTTTGGCCTAGAGTAGAGTTGTGTCGTTCCGGAACAAACTAGTTCAAGGGAACTATTCGGCTAGAGGAACTATCGGGACTAGGTACGGCTGTTTTTCTTTCATTCAATTCTGTTGGGGTTTCTTGTGTTTTAGTTCCATTGCCTTATTTTTAAATTCTTATTCTGTTTCAGAACTGCAAAAGTGTACAACTTTTACTAAGATACCCGTCGACGAAATGTTTTTTACATATGTGGTGTCAAATTTTCTACATGTTGAAGTTACACATATCGTGTGATATATGGTCGTCATTTCAGTTGTGAAATTCATGAGTGAAACTCATGACTTTTTTCGATCACTGTGTGCCCTATTTTCATCGGAAAATAGATGATCTGTTCCAGAAACTGCAAGAATCTATTAAATTTGCAATTTTTCGATATCATAAAGGAAGAATCGGTTAGCGTAGTAAAAATGTTTGCATTGGAGCAGTTCTGGAACAAAAAAAAAAAAAAAAAAAAAAAAAATATATATATATATATATATATATATATATATATATATATATATATATATATATATATATATATATCTGTTTCAGAACTACAAAGAATGTTTACTACGATAACCGAGGTTCCGGATCTGGATACCAGTACCTTGGTTATCGTAGTAAACATGTAGTTCTGGAACAGATCTATTGTAATCAATGGGAATAAAAACAAGTATGAGTGATAACAAAACACACGGATAATATGTGCTCGGTTTCAAAGAAAACCGAATTTTTTTTCGATATCAAGGAGGTAAAATTGTTTATTATAACAGTCTTGCAGTTGTCAAACGGACCAACAATTGACTGCAAAGATGTAAAAACATTCCGTCTGATATTGCCTTAATAAACGGGAATTGAACGAGATTTTCCAACACTGTCAACTGAGTATAGGTTTATATAAATCGAGTTTTAAAATGCATAAAAACGAAGTAATCGATTATATGCAGTCATTATACCGCCAAAAAGGGCTGCTAAAGTAATACCAATTTATACCTTTCTTTTTAGTGCTTAAAAGGTATACTTCGTTTTTTATATTAAATTAGATTTTTTTTGCTAGAAAAACCTTTAGCTAAATATAGAACGATCAGCTATAAATTTGCCTCCTGGGTGACCGTATTCAAATGTCCTACAATATTAAAAAAAGAAAAAGGTCAGGCCAAACTTTAAAAAGCCTCCAACTCGAGGTAACGAAAACCTTTAAAAAACCCTTAAAAATAAATGTATGGGGATTCGTGCCTTAAATACCTTAAAGGGGACGGTACCGATATTTGTGGACTGCATCAATATGAGAAACTACATATGCAATTTCCCGTTACAGTGGCACAGACTAACGAATATATGGACGAAGGAAAGCGCTCACCGCTTATCATCGAAAAAATGTGATCAGCAGATGTCCATTTCGTTTCAGAGTTATGAGTAAAAATATTGAAGTCACTCAATTCTAAAATGTTAAAAATATCAACATGTCGAGGATATGTGACACTTCAAAACTATTGCATAATAAGATTTAGGTGTACATGACCTGATGACAACGAAAAATACGGAAATTAACAAATGGAGTTTTTGAAAAACGGTGAAATGTGTTTTCGAAGTCGAAGAGTAGATCCACTGCTAAAAATCAGAATATCCATAGGAAAGAAAGGAGCTAGAATTTGAAACAATAGCCTTCTATCTCAATTTGTTCGAAAGATAGCAATTTGTTCGAAATATAGCGTGATTACAACAAACAGGAGGACGGACAAATACACCTACAGACAGACAGATGAACGTATCTAAATCGACTTATAATTTTACACTTATTAATACTTATTTGGAGGGTATAAAAACTAAAAGAACCACACTTATCCATCAATCAGTAGTGAAACGACAAAAGTGGCGCGGCACAGAATATATGATGATCAGATAAAAAAGGAATTTTGTATCTGTACTTGGACTGGCCTTAACCTGCAAATTCCAAAAATATATCTATAATCCCTCGAAGATATGTGTTAACCAACATTGACAGCTACTCCAAATAGAAGACCAATATTTAAAAGACAAGTTACAGGATGATCAAATATCTAAAATGGGATGTTTACGGATGTTCGCCCAGGAAGTTTTGCTTCGAATCCACTGCAATCAAAAACCATAATTTCAAAGCGAAAATGTATTTTTGTTCCGGTCCCTTGGCAATAATAATGGAGAAAATAAAAAAATTAAAATTTTTCTCGTCGAAAAAGTTTTTGACATAGACGATGATAAACACGGACCCTTTTTTCCAGTGTACCCGTTCGAGGTCAACTTTTGGCCAATGGCTTATTTTCCACGTTTCCAAATTTCGGAATCAACATCAATGCAAATGTTAAATATTCAAAAATGCACAAATAAATATTGTATCCGTTGAATCGCCGATGATGATGTTAGAAAAGGTCTCACTGGTTTTACATATTCCCGATTTCCGATTTTAGAAACCAACAGCAAAGCAAATTGTAAAATCTTCTCTCAATTTAATTTTACAACCAAACAGAAAAAAAATCAAAAATAAAAATTAGTCGCCGTTAAAAAAAATTGAAAATTGACATCGACGTTGATAAAAATTAAAAAAAATGCCGGCTTTGTTGTTTATTTGAAATTTAAACATTTTTCAATTTCTTTAGATTTGAATCAGACCTATAATTTTCGATCTTTTATTGTGGTTTAAAAAATCGTTTTTTCGGGGATAAAAATACTATAGTACGACAAGCATTGGAAAGAAAACAATGAGAATTATGGAAAACATTTAAAACTGTCACTAACATCGCTGTTTGAAGAATGTCATATCGAAAGAGAAGAATGACAGAAATAAATTTGAAAATTTTCAAAAAGGGGAACAATTGTGAAATCGTCTTAAAATATAATCCCATCATTTTTTACAAGCGGAAACAGGTTAGAGCCTATTTAACGGTTCAGAGCAAATCCATGTAATGCATTTAATTTAACATGGGTATAAATAAATGTCCAATTTTAGAAAAAAATGAAAAAATATATTTGGGACCAAAGAAAGTTTTTCAAACAATATGTTGAATTGAAAGAGGCTTTTTGAGTTGTGAAACGTATTGTCCAGAAATATGAGAAAGTTTATGTTGATTAACGGCTGACATTGGTGAAAAAATTGGTTTGCTATTACGGCAACGTGCATGGAAGGACACCGATGCTGTTAAACCAAGCTAGGGATTGCAACTCAACTTTACTAAAAGATGTTGATTTTAAGCGAATTTCGTGAGGAATTGGAATTCTCAAAATATCTTCTCCAAGCTTGACGAAAAAATACAGAATGTTTGTATGAAAGACTCTCTTATTATGCGTTCAAAATGTTTAAAATTTGACACCGATAATCAATATAATTGGAGAAACACGATTTAGTTATAGTTTCTGTATGTTTTCCTCTATTTGTTCTCCTGGGTGTCCTACAATATCAAGATAGCAAGGATGCCCAGCTAATTTGCATATACTGTAATGGTACTGTCAATTTCAATTTGACGTGTTGTGTTTTATTTCCCATTTTTAATGTAATTTGGGAATTTTGTCCTCACAATTGAAAAACTTAAGTTGTCCTACTTCAGAGAACGCCGTTGGTTTTATTTCCCATTTTTAATGTAATTTGGGAATTTTGTCCTCACAATTGAAAAACTTAAGTTGTCCTACTTCAGAGAACGCCGTTGGTGCGAAAAGAAGCGGCTGCAAAACTCAAAACGGCCAAAATTAATTACTTCACTCGTCCTCATTTACTGGACATTTGGGTTATCGAACAAAATTTTGTAATCACATCTAATTTGTACAAAGTACAACCAACTCTTGCGTTATCCTACATACCTAATGATATAAATTATTGAAGAACATTCGCATGATAGTATTTATGGATATGCCGTATTTATCTTAGGTAAATACGCAATGAACGTTTAAAAACATTTATTTTCTATCGCTTTATTTTGATCTATTTTCATTTTTAAATGTGAGACATCATCATAGGCCACTTTGTGTGCAGAAAAGAGATGATTTTTTAGTCTGAAATTAACAAGGCAAATATTTATAATTTATGGCAGGTACAAGACAAAATTTTAAATAACTTACAGGTGTGGTTTCAGGAATGTCTTTTCACACATGTAACAACTATACCGATGACCAGAATGTACCTTGTACAAATGATCCTGTAAACGTTTACGTGTCTGGAATGCTTTCGAACAGGTGGAACATTCGAATTGTTTCTCGCCAGTGTGAATAAATGTATGATCGACTAGATGCTGTCGTTGTCGGAAGGCAGCTTTACAGTCTTCATACTCGCATACAAATGGTTTTTCATCGCGATGCATACGAGAATGTAGAATAAGCTGCGATCGTCGAGCAAATTTTTTATCACATTGCGGGCATTCGACTTTCTTGCCGAAATGCAATGTCTGGTGGGTGGTAAGAATATTTTTCTGTCGAAAACATTTTCCGCAAACCTCACACTTAAAGGGTTTTACATCACAGTGGATATTGTAGTGTGATTCAATATCATAGATGCGATCAAAGGCTCGATCTAAAAAGTAAAATAAGACAACATCAGTTCAGATTTAAATGTAATTCTCCCATACATACCACAGTGCTGACATTGATATGACTTTTTCACTTTTCCATTTTCATCTAGCACGGTTGTAACAACATAAGTATTAGTGGATGGGCCAGAATTTTGGGTATTGGAACGCATTTTTGGCTCAGAAGTTGTAGCATGCAACTCTTTGTTTAAGGTTTGTTGTATAAGTTTGTAAATATCTTCATCCTCATTCCCATTGTCGTCTCCATTGTCTTCCTGATAGACGTATGTATTATTTTCGTTCTCTACTTCTTTTGCCGTGCTTGATTCTGATTGCGAATCATCTTGCTCACCATCGTCTCCTTCATATTCAAAATTTATTATTTCTTGTTCATCGTTATATTTATCCTTGTTTTCCATCGGTAACGATGTATCATCATCCTCCTGTGACCACGTTTCTGTAACGTCCATATGTGCGTTGTATTCATCTTCTTCTATAACATTATCCACTGAATTGTTTTCATGGTGATCGGTGCCTTCATTGGATTCCGTTGCATAACCATTTTCATTTATTGGTAATGTCAGTAGCAGCTCATCTTCTTCTTCCTGTTTGGGTTCCTGATTCAATTGCATATCTGCAGATTCCTTAGTTGACGATACTACTGCAACGTATACGTTGTTTCTGACATCTTTAGTCACACTCGGTAGGTTATTGCTCTCGAGAACTGGCTTTGGGTTATCACATTCTGTGGGGAATTGGGTCTTCCAATACTCATCGGCATCCTTGCACTGTTCATGGAAATCTTGAAATTCGGCTAATTTATTAAAGCATGCCGCACAGAGATTTGTTGGATCTGTGGACTTTTGTTTGCGAATAAGATTCTTCAATTGTAATTCTTGTTCCACATATTTCAGGATTGCCCGTGTCATTTTTATTGGTTCGTGACCAATACTTTGCAAGCAAATTCGGCAATTATTAAAAAGATCCATGCTGCTCTGGATTTATTTAAACAACCGCTATAAAATGTTTTGTTATTTGTTTCCTGATGTAATTTCGCCCACTTGTGCTTTGCAGGTTTACACGGCATCTACATTAGGGTTATGTAGGTCGAGTTCAGTTCTAGTCGACGGCTAGTGAATAATCGATGTATGTGCAGTCGGCACCGTAAGCGGTATGCTATGTTCCCACGACATCTGCTGATCAGATTTTTTTTCGATGATAAGCGGTGAGCGCTTTCCTTCGTCTATATATTCGTTAGTCTGTGCCACTGTAACGGGAAATTGCATATGTAGTTTCTCATATTGATGCAGTCCACAAATATCGGTACCGTCCCCTTTAAGGTATTTAAGGCACGAATCCCCATACATTTATTTTTAAGGGTTTTTTAAAGGTTTTCGTTACCTCGAGTTGGAGGCTTTTTAAAGTTTGGCCTGATCTTTTTCTTTTTTTTAATATTGTAGGACATTTGAATACGGTCACCCAGGAGTCAAATTTATAGCTGATCGTTCTATATTTAGCTAAAGGTTTTTCTTGCAAAAAAAATTTAATTTAAATAAAAAACGAAGTATACCTTTTAAGCACTAAAAAGAAAGGTATAAATTACCTTCATCTGCAGGCCAATTTGGCGCCATTATTGTTTGTATAGACATTTGTAATTGCTTTAAACTGGGCTTTACCGTCTTCACCTGACCCAGGGCCAAATAATAGCACACCTGTAGCACCAAAAAGAACACCTTCAAATACTCTTTCTGATGTGGATTCGCAATACTATTGTCAATTATGGCCCCAGCCGAATTGAGCAGTGCCAGTACATCGTTGGTTTTACGTTCTATCATTAGGATCATTGCCCGTGACAGCAGAAAGAGCACCTTTAAATATGTGGCACTTGACTCATCGGCTGATTCTGCACCAACCGCAAGCAGCTCTGAAGCTAGAGTGTATTCCTTGTCATTTGCATGTAGTTGGGACAATTGCAGCAGCAGTTTACAATGCCAATAGACATTGTTTTGTGACAATTCGATTGCCTTTCGCAGCATAGCCTTGGCCAGGGGAACCTGATCGATTTGTTTGTACAGTTCGGCCAGCATTGATGCGGTATCAAATTTAACATCGTCAAAATTTAATAATGACTCGGACAATTTCCACGCCTTTTCCAAGTGTTCCCGGGCCTTGTCGATGTTATGGGTGTACGTCATAAGTATCTGGCCCATTTGCAGATGGGTGCGTGCCTCTACTTTCGATGGTGGATTGAACGTAAACAAAGCTTGTAGACATTGTATACACCTCTTGATGTTCGGTGGCTGTGACGTGCGAAAATATTCCGCCAGGCCCAGTAATGAAATATAACAAGCGTCCTGTGATGTCGTTGCTGTCTGTGAAGTGCTAGCCGGTTGCAAGCTCATCTTATTTAACAAATATCCTTAAATTTACGATTTGTGATCTCCTGATGTAAACAAGTTTTCTTTTGGCCTAGAGTAGAGTTGTGTCGTTCCGGAACAAACTAGTTCAAGGGAACTATTCGGCTAGAGGAACTATCGGGACTAGGTACGGCTGTTTTTCTTTCATTCAATTCTGTTGGGGTTTCTTGTGTTTTAGTTCCATTGCCTTATTTTTAAATTCTTATTCTGTTTCAGAACTGCAAAAGTGTACAACTTTTACTAAGATACCCGTCGACGAAATGTTTTTTACATATGTGGTGTCAAATTTTCTACATGTTGAAGTTACACATATCGTGTGATATATGGTCGTCATTTCAGTTGTGAAATTCATGAGTGAAACTCATGACTTTTTCGATCACTGTGTGCCCTATTTTCATCGGAAAATAGATGATCTGTTCCAGAAACTGCAAGAATCTATTAAATTTGCAATTTTTCGATATCATAAAGGAAGAATCGGTTAGCGTAGTAAAATGTTTGCATTGGAGCAGTTCTGGAACAAAAAAAAAAAAAAAAAATATATATATATATATATATATATATATATATATATATATATATATATATATATATATATATATATATATATATATATATATCTGTTTCAGAACTACAAAGAATGTTTACTACGATAACCGAGGTTCCGGATCTGGATACCAGTACCTTGGTTATCGTAGTAAACATGTAGTTCTGGAACAGATCTATTGTAATCAATGGGAATAAAAACAAGTATGAGTGATAACAAAACACACGGATAATATGTGCTCGGTTTCAAAGAAAACCGAATTTTTTTTCGATATCAAGGAGGTAAAATTGTTTATTATAACAGTCTTGCAGTTGTCAAACGGACCAACAATTGACTGCAAAGATGTAAAAACATTCCGTCTGATATTGCCTTAATAAACGGGAATTGAACGAGATTTTCCAACACTGTCAACTGAGTATAGGTTTATATAAATCGAGTTTTAAAATGCATAAAAACGAAGTAATCGATTATATGCAGTCATTATACCGCCAAAAAGGGCTGCTAAAGTAATACCAATTTATACCTTTCTTTTTAGTGCTTAAAAGGTATACTTCGTTTTTTATATTAAATTAGATTTTTTTTGCTAGAAAAACCTTTAGCTAAATATAGAACGATCAGCTATAAATTTGCCTCCTGGGTGACCGTATTCAAATGTCCTACAATATTAAAAAAAAGAAAAATGTCAGGCCAAACTTTAAAAAGCCTCCAACTCGAGGTAACGAAAACCTTTAAAAAACCCTTAAAAATAAATGTATGGGATTCGTGCCTTAAATACCTTAAAGGGGACGGTACCGATATTTGTGGACTGCATCAATATGAGAAACTACATATGCAATTTCCCGTTACAGTGGCACAGACTAACGAACATATAGACGAAGGAAAGCGCTCACCGCTTATCATCGAAAAAAATCTGATCAGCAGATGTCGTGGGAACATAGCATACCGCTTACGGTGCCGACTGCACATACATCGATTATTCACTAGCCGTCGACTAGAACTGAACTCGACCTACATAACCCTAATGTAGATGCCGTGTAAACCTGCAAAGCACAAGTGGGCGAAATTACATTACATCAGGAAACAAATAACAAAACATTTTATAGCGGTTGTTTAAATAAATCCAGAGCAGCATGGATCTTTTTAATAATTGCCGAATTTGCTTGCAAAGTATTGGTCACGAACCAATAAAAATGACACGGGCAATCCTGAAATATGTGGAACAAGAATTACAATTGAAGAATCTTATTCGCAAACAAAAGTCCACAGATCCAACAAATCTCTGTGCGGCATGCTTTAATAAATTAGCCGAATTTCAGGATTTCCATGAACAGTGCAAGGAAGCCGATGAGTATTGGAAGACCCAATTTCCCACAGAATGTGATAACCCAAAGCCAGTTCTCGAGAGCAATAACCTACCGAGTGTGACTAAAGATGCCAGAAACAACATATACGTTGCAGTAGTATCGTCAACTAAGGAATCTGCAGATATGCAATTGAATCAGGAACCCAAACAGGAAGAAGAAGATGAGCTGCTACTGACATTACCAATAAATGAAAATGGTTATGCAACGGAATCCAATGAAGGCACCGATCACCATGAAAACAATTCAGTGGATAATGTTATAGAAGAAGATGAATACAACGCACATATGGACGTTACAGAAACGTGGTCACAGGAGGATGATGATACATCGTTACCGATGGAAAACAAGGATAAATATAACGATGAACAAGAAATAATAAATTTTGAATATGAAGGAAACGATGGTGAGCAAGATGATTCGCAATCAGAATCAAGCACGGCAAAAGAAGTAGAGAACGAAAATAATACATACGTCTATCAGGAAGACAATGGAGACGACAATGGGAATGAGGATGAAGATATTTACAAACTTATACAACAAACCTTAAACAAAGAGTTGCATGCTACAACTTCTGAGCCAAAAATGCGTTCCAATACCCAAAATTCTGGCCCATCCACTAATACTTATGTTGTTACAACCGTGCTAGATGAAAATGGAAAAGTGAAAAAGTCATATCAATGTCAGCACTGTGGTATGTATGGGAGAATTACATTTAAATCTGAACTGATGTTGTCTTATTTTACTTTTTAGATCGAGCCTTTGATCGCATCTATGATATTGAATCACACTACAATATCCACAGTGATGTAAAACCCTTTAAGTGTGAGGTTTGCGGAAAATGTTTTCGACAGAAAAATATTCTTACCACCCACCAGACATTGCATTTCGGCAAGAAAGTCGAATGCCCGCAATGTGATAAAAAATTTGCTCGACGATCGCAGCTTATTCTACATTCTCGTATGCATCGCGATGAAAAACCATTTGTATGCGAGTATGAAGACTGTAAAGCTGCCTTCCGACAACGACAGCATCTAGTCGATCATACATTTATTCACACTGGCGAGAAACAATTCGAATGTTCCACCTGTTCGAAAGCATTCCAGACACGTAAACGTTTACAGGATCATTTGTACAAGGTACATTCTGGTCATCGGTATAGTTGTTACATGTGTGAAAAGACATTCCTGAAACCACACCTGTAAGTTATTTAAAATTTTTGTCTTGTACCTGCCATAAATTATAAATATTTGCCTTGTTAATTTCAGACTAAAAATTCATCTCTTTTCTGCACACAAAGTGGCCTATGATGATGTCTCACATTTAAAAATGAAAATAGATCAAAATAAAGCGATAGAAAAATAAATGTTTTTAAACGTTCATTGCGTATTTACCTAAGATAAATACGGCATATCCATAAATACTATCATGCGAATGTTCTTCAATAATTTATATCATTAGGTATGTAGGATAACGCAAGAGTTGGTTGTACTTTGTACAAATTAGATGTGATTACAAAATTTTGTTCGATAACCCAAATGTCCAGTAAATGAGGACGAGTGAAGTAATTAATTTTGGCCGTTTTGAGTTTTGCAGCCGCTTCTTTTCGCACCAACGGCGTTCTCTGAAGTAGGACAACTTAAGTTTTTCAATTGTGAGGACAAAATTCCCAAATTACATTAAAAATGGGAAATAAAACCAACGGCGTTCTCTGAAGTAGGACAACTTAAGTTTTTCAATTGTGAGGACAAAATTCCCAAATTACATTAAAAATGGGAAATAAAACACAACACGTCAAATTGAAATTGACAGTACCATTACAGTATATGCAAATTAGCTGGGCATCCTTGCTATCTTGATATTGTAGGACACCCAGGAGAACAAATAGAGGAAAACATACAGAAACTATAACTAAATCGTGTTTCTCCAATTATATTGATTATCGGTGTCAAATTTTAAACATTTTGAACGCATAATAAGAGAGTCTTTCATACAAACATTCTGTATTTTTTCGTCAAGCTTGGAGAAGATATTTTGAGAATTCCAATTCCTCACGAAATTCGCTTAAAATCAACATCTTTTAGTAAAGTTGAGTTGCAATCCCTAGCTTGGTTTAACAGCATCGGTGTCCTTCCATGCACGTTGCCGTAATAGCAAACCAATTTTTTCACCAATGTCAGCCGTTAATCAACATAAACTTTCTCATATTTCTGGACAATACGTTTCACAACTCAAAAAGCCTCTTTCAATTCAACATATTGTTTGAAAAACTTTCTTTGGTCCCAAATATATTTTTTCATTTTTTTCTAAAATTGGACATTTATTTATACCCATGTTAAATTAAATGCATTACATGGATTTGCTCTGAACCGTTAAATAGGCTCTAACCTGTTTCCGCTTGTAAAAAATGATGGGATTATATTTTAAGACGATTTCACAATTGTTCCCCTTTTTGAAAATTTTCAAATTTATTTCTGTCATTCTTCTCTTTCGATATGACATTCTTCAAACAGCGATGTTAGTGACAGTTTTAAATGTTTTCCATAATTCTCATTGTTTTCTTTCCAATGCTTGTCGTACTATAGTATTTTTATCCCCGAAAAACGATTTTTTAAACCACAATAAAAGATCGAAAATTATAGGTCTGATTCAAATCTAAAGAAATTGAAAAATGTTTAAATTTCAAATAAACAACAAAGCCGGCATTTTTTTTAATTTTTATCAACGTCGATGTCAATTTTCAATTTTTTTTAACGGCGACTAATTTTTATTTTTGATTTTTTTTCTGTTTGGTTGTAAAATTAAATTGAGAGAAGATTTTACAATTTGCTTTGCTGTTGGTTTCTAAAATCGGAAATCGGGAATATGTAAAACCAGTGAGACCTTTTCTAACATCATCATCGGCGATTCAACGGATACAATATTTATTTGTGCATTTTTGAATATTTAACATTTGCATTGATGTTGATTCCGAAATTTGGAAACGTGGAAAATAAGCCATTGGCCAAAAGTTGACCTCGAACGGGTACACTGGAAAAAAGGGTCCGTGTTTATCATCGTCTATGTCAAAAACTTTTTTCGACGAGAAAAATTTTAATTTTTTTATTTTCTCCATTATTATTGCCAAGGGACCGGAACAAAAATACATTTTCGCTTTGAAATTATGGTTTTTGATTGCAGTGGATTCGAAGCAAAACTTCCTGGGCGAACATCCGTAAACATCCCATTTTAGATATTTGATCATCCTGTAACTTGTCTTTTAAATATTGGTCTTCTATTTGGAGTAGCTGTCAATGTTGGTTAACACATATCTTCGAGGGATTATAGATATATTTTTGGAATTTGCAGGTTAAGGCCAGTCCAAGTACAGATACAAAATTCCTTTTTTATCTGATCATCATATATTCTGTGCCGCGCCACTTTTGTCGTTTCACTACTGATTGATGGATAAGTGTGGTTCTTTTTAGTTTTTATACCCTCCAAATAAGTATTAATAAGTGTAAAATTATAAGTCGATTTAGATACGTTCATCTGTCTGTCTGTAGGTGTATTTGTCCGTCCTCCTGTTTGTTGTAATCACGCTATATTTCGAACAAATTGCTATCTTTCGAACAAATTGAGATAGAAGGCTATTGTTTCAAATTCTAGCTCCTTTCTTTCCTATGGATATTCTGATTTTTAGCAGTGGATCTACTCTTCGACTTCGAAAACACATTTCACCGTTTTTCAAAAACTCCATTTGTTAATTTCCGTATTTTTCGTTGTCATCAGGTCATGTACACCTAAATCTTATTATGCAATAGTTTTGAAGTGTCACATATCCTCGACATGTTGATATTTTTAACATTTTAGAATTGAGTGACTTCAATATTTTTACTCATAACTCTGAAACGAAATGGACATCTGCTGATCACATTTTTTCGATGATAAGCGGTGAGCGCTTTCCTTCGTCCATATATTCGTTAGTCTGTGCCACTGTAACGGGAAATTGCATATGTAGTTTCTCATATTGATGCAGTCCACAAATATCGGTACCGTCCCCTTTAAGGTATTTAAGGCACGAATCCCCATACATTTATTTTTAAGGGTTTTTTAAAGGTTTTCGTTACCTCGAGTTGGAGGCTTTTTAAAGTTTGGCCTGACCTTTTTCTTTTTTTTAATATTGTAGGACATTTGAATACGGTCACCCAGGAGGCAAATTTATAGCTGATCGTTCTATATTTAGCTAAAGGTTTTTCTAGCAAAAAAAATCTAATTTAATATAAAAAACGAAGTATACCTTTTAAGCACTAAAAAGAAAGGTATAAATTGGTATTACTTTAGCAGCCCTTTTTGGCGGTATAATGACTGCATATAATCGATTACTTCGTTTTTATGCATTTTAAAACTCGATTTATATAAACCTATACTCAGTTGACAGTGTTGGAAAATCTCGTTCAATTCCCGTTTATTAAGGCAATATCAGACGGAATGTTTTTACATCTTTGCAGTCAATTGTTGGTCCGTTTGACAACTGCAAGACTGTTATAATAAACAATTTTACCTCCTTGATATCGAAAAAAAATTCGGTTTTCTTTGAAACCGAGCACATATTATCCGTGTGTTTTGTTATCACTCATACTTGTTTTTATTCCCATTGATTACAATAGATCTGTTCCAGAACTACATGTTTACTACGATAACCAAGGTACTGGTATCCAGATCCGGAACCTCGGTTATCGTAGTAAACATTCTTTGTAGTTCTGAAACAGATATATATATATATATATATATATATATATATATATATATATATATATATATATATTTTTTTTTTTTTTTTTTTTTTTTTTTTTGTTCCAGAACTGCTCCAATGCAAACATTTTTACTACGCTAACCGATTCTTCCTTTATGATATCGAAAAATTGCAAATTTAATAGATTCTTGCAGTTTCTGGAACAGATCATCTATTTTCCGATGAAAATAGGGCACACAGTGATCGAAAAAGTCATGAGTTTCACTCATGAATTTCACAACTGAAATGACGACCATATATCACACGATATGTGTAACTTCAACATGTAGAAAATTTGACACCACATATGTAAAAAACATTTCGTCGACGGGTATCTTAGTAAAAAGTTGTACACTTTTGCAGTTCTGAAACAGAATAAGAATTTAAAAATAAGGCAATGGAACTAAAACACAAGAAACCCCAACAGAATTGAATGAAAGAAAAACAGCCGTACCTAGTCCCGATAGTTCCTCTAGCCGAATAGTTCCCTTGAACTAGTTTGTTCCGGAACGACACAACTCTACTCTAGGCCAAAAGAAAACTTGTTTACATCAGGAGATCACAAATCGTAAATTTAAGGATATTTGTTAAATAAGATGAGCTTGCAACCGGCTAGCACTTCACAGACAGCAACGACATCACAGGACGCTTGTTATATTTCATTACTGGGCCTGGCGGAATATTTTCGCACGTCACAGCCACCGAACATCAAGAGGTGTATACAATGTCTACAAGCTTTGTTTACGTTCAATCCACCATCGAAAGTAGAGGCACGCACCCATCTGCAAATGGGCCAGATACTTATGACGTACACCCATAACATCGACAAGGCCCGGGAACACTTGGAAAAAGCGTGGAAATTGTCCGAGTCATTATTAAATTTTGACGATGTTAAATTTGATACCGCATCAATGCTGGCCGAACTGTACAAACAAATCGATCAGGTTCCCCTGGCCAAGGCTATGCTGCGAAAGGCAATCGAATTGTCACAAAACAATGTCTATTGGCATTGTAAACTGCTGCTGCAATTGTCCCAACTACATGCAAATGACAAGGAATACACTCTAGCTTCAGAGCTGCTTGCGGTTGGTGCAGAATCAGCCGATGAGTCAAGTGCCACATATTTAAAGGTGCTCTTTCTGCTGTCACGGGCAATGATCCTAATGATAGAACGTAAAACCAACGATGTACTGGCACTGCTCAATTCGGCTGGGGCCATAATTGACAATAGTATTGCGAATCCACATCAGAAAGAGTATTTGAAGGTGTTCTTTTTGGTGCTACAGGTGTGCTATTATTTGGCCCTGGGTCAGGTGAAGACGGTAAAGCCCAGTTTAAAGCAATTACAAATGTCTATACAAACAATAATGGCGCCAAATTGGCCTGCAGATGAAGGTAATACAAATGGCACCTCTTTTTAATTTTCAAAGCAAATAATGCATTTTCACATAATTTTTTAGTTATTTTCGGACAAAATCCCTTGGACATGTTCGTATGGCTGCCCAAGGAACAGCTTTACGTTCTGGTTTATTTGGTAACCGTGTCACACTCAATGATGGCTGGCTACATGGATAAAGCCCAAAAGTACACCGAAAAAGCACTAACACAAATCGAAAAGCTAAAAAGCCAAGACGACAAACCAATATT